TAAACCTTTAACGGTTTTTCAACAAAAATTTTTAATAAAACACTAACAATGTATCATTATGATGAGTCCAATTGTTTTACAAGCTTAAATGTAGTGTAGGCATTAAAAATCCTAATTAATTTATTATCAATTAATTATTAAGCATTAATTTATTTACTGATAATATTAGGTATGGTAAAGTTTAGCCCTAACTAAACTAAAGCAAAAAACAACGTACATGTTACAGTGTTAATTTATCTCTATCAAGTATAGACCATACCTAATAAAGGCTTAACTAATGTTGGGACTAAGACAAGTGGACTTATAGATTTCAGTGTTTCTGATTAGATATATCTTATATTATTATGTAAATCCCGTATTTAAAGAAGTACTTTTGCAATAAAGATACTAATTTCACCAAAATGTTTTATAGATCTCCAGTGATAATAATTAAAATAATGTTTTCAGGGTTGGCAAAAACAAGAAAACACAAGAGGTCACTAAAACGAGTCAAGAGGTAGTAGAAGGTGAAACTGATAAAACCAGAAAAGCTAAACAACAACAACAAAAGTGAGTGACTTGTCATGATACTGATTTACTTAAGCTTGTTGCAGTGTTAATAGTATTAGTTTCATAACATGTCGATTTTAACTTTATGAAAATATTTTGTCACACTTATTATTTTTGTTGCTCAGATTTTGTATTTGAAAACAGCCTGTTTTTAATGAGAACTGTTTTTATACTTTCTGCTAGTCCATTGTGTAAAAAAAGTAACTTGTATGTAATCCTGCAGTAACACCAATTCACAGCAGCAGTTGTTATAAAAATCTGATGAACAGTAACACCAATTCACAGCAGTAATTGTTATAAAAATCTAATGAACGGTAACACCAATTTACAGCAGTAATTGTTATAAAAATCTAATGAACAGTAACACCAATTTACTGCAGTAATTGTTATAAAAATCTAAATGAACAGTAACACCAATTTACTGCAGTAATTGTTATAAAAATCTAATGAACAGTAACACCAATTTACTGCAGTAATTGTTATAAAAATCTAATGAACAGTAACACCAATTTACTGCAGTAATTGTT